GGAAGTCTATACCGTTTCGGGAACATGACTTGATTTTAACTGAAAAGAGTTTATATGCTATCGAACGATGATTTGTCTAATACAACTTATGTAACTCTTAAGTGTTTTAAAAAAAGACAAAAATGTTTCTTACATGTCTTTACCGTATAAAACTTTGCAGACTGGGTGCTTACTTTATTTCCTAGTAAAAGGCATAAACTAGATTGCGCGGGATTTATTACGAGTTTTAAAATATGGCTGTAATCGACCTTGAAAAGGCATTAATAGTAACAAGATAAAATAAGTGGGGTAAATACAAGACAGGGACATTCATAAAATACTTTTATCATACGATTACTACCACGGTTTTTTTACAGCCCACATAGTAAACCGACAATTTTTGGTGGGAACAGTAGTCTGATCTGCAGGAAAATTTATATTGTCACTACAAATAGTTCCTCTTGTCCTAGCTATGAATACCTGAGAGGCGAGAATGCGCGGTTTGCAGACCTACGGGTACGAAGGACAAGGCTGTCGTAGCCGGACTCAAGCAATCGAACCCAACCTTCAGTTCGATAACCTACACCCATCACTTAATTGCACAAGGAAATCCAGGCAAACATGGAAAATCACCAAATGGCTGTACAACCGTTCATCAACTGTACTGTGTAGGCAGTCCTTTGACCTGCGTGAAGGCTATCCGTCGCCAGCGGGATTTCTGCGGGATCAGGTGTTTGAACCGATCGCATCTGTTGGTGGAACAAAAGCGCTGGCGGATCCCTCATAAACATAATTGGTGTGTGGAACTGTTTGTAAATTCCGGATAGCTGGTTGACAGTGGGGTCTGTTGTGACTAATGGAAGAGCTGTGTGTAGCTGTCTAACGAATTACCCCGTTTACCAGTGTAAAAATCGAGCGAAATTATTACCTACCGGAACGCTGACATCTGGGTTTGGCCTAGCGGTGAATTTGGTTCGGTAGCTATGCTAAGCCAGCTGGAGATGTTGCTGTTAGGTGAAGGTTGGTACATATATAGGGTAGTTACGTCGATGTGTTATTTGTATTGAAGAAGGGAAATATGTTTAGCATTGTTCGTTGTTGTGGTAGACTGCAGGGGTACTGGAAATCACGTGGCGCCAATTTGTAACTGTCATCATGTAGACGATTGCGGAAGGTGCTGTCTGTCGGTGCGCACCTATTATCGGAAATGAGAGGAGTTTGAATCCGATGTAAAGAAATTTTAATTTGCAACTGCGACAGCTTTATACAAACCTGCGGCTGTGACTCGGCAGCATTATGAATGACAACCAGGGAAGTATTTGCTAGAGGAGTACCCGTACCAGTACGTGCGGTATCGCTGTGTTCACGGCAAACGTAGCATCGTACGTGAGAAAAGGTAAGTTGCTATTCTCACAGTATAATAAATGCTACGCAGTTACAGGATGCTGAATTGCATTGTCCATTTCTCTTTCAAGTTAAATGGTGAATTTAGCAACGAAAGGGGGCATGGTTGTAAGATATTTGTTCTTCGTGCCATCGAGCATGGAGCCATTGTGGAAAGACGTTGCGGATTACTTTTGGCGGAAGCAAATCACCAAGGGAATTCTTGGGCTTATAACTTGTGGCATTGTATGCTGGTGGATGCAACTGGTGTAGCGCAAATTTTGCTATGCGTTGCTCCTGAAGGAGGTGTACCATAGCTACCGGCAATCTGTGGAAGCGATGAAGGAAATGCTAGCTTGCACGGAATCGGTACCTACAATTTTAATGGATAAGTGTATGGCCCAGGTGCGATCGATGACCTCGGCTTATCCTAAAGCATCTCTCCAGCGGCTGACCTCACGAAAAGCGTGTGCGGCAGGCAAACGCTTTGGACGGCAGTGGGTCTGGGAGCGGATTGCAGACATTGCAGTGAGAAGATTCGTCCGAGTAGCCGAAGCAGGAAGCTTGTGACGTGCATCAGGTTCAAGTGAGCTTGGTGCTTGTACTTGCTTTCAAAGCACAGCGGAATGGCAAAAAGCGACCACTAAACAGCAGGAATTTGTCCAGCCAAGGTGTTGAATGACCGAGCAGTGTTCGTTGGAACCGTGCACCCGCCTGGTGTCCGATACAATTAAACGGGCTCAGTGAACAATCCGAAGCCAGAAAGTAGCCTAGGATGGATCGGTGGGCCGATAACTCCCGTCAGATAACACCAGATCCAGTAGATGCGCTTGCGTCGGACGGAGATTAGCGGCGAACAAGCGGATTAACTAAGAGGTTGGCCACCTGGCGAATGCCGCACAAAGCGCTTGGCAATGAACCAGAATGTCCATTTGACTGCATCAAATGATGCATTTCGACTGAGACAAAGGACTTGGGAGAACGATAGGCAACAGCTTAGGATGTGGTTGAGAGGAGAAAAGTGTCCCAGTCTGTTTGAACGGAAGTGGAGGCGGATCACAACGGGGTGGAATTGGCCCATCAGTTGCGGTGTCTGTGTCTTACTATTCACCATCTACGTGGATAGTCACAAGTGACTACGGTTTCTCGTCAATTTGTTCAGATTCCTAGAGGAGCAGTGCCTCTGTACGAGGAACATTCTTGAATACCCATCATCCTCCGCTACTGGATCGTCATCTAGGTTCCTGTCCAATACTTTTGGACCTGCTTGATATGCTTCCGCAAGCAAAAATCCGTCGCATTTGTAGCCTGCTGTATCGTCCATAGGACGCCTGAAACTTACGGTTCTTCCTGAAGCAGAAGCATGACGTACAATCACAGGGTCCAAACCTATTGAAGACATAAGATAGTATAAATCATAGCGGCCAATGCAGTAACAGCATGGAACTTTGGAAACACCAACGGCCTATACTGACTTTCTGACAGTGTCCTGTCAGCGAGCAAGCTCGCCACGGAGCAAATCCAACTAGCCACGAGACAGAGAAACAAATACCACTGCGAAAGCCAGTGATAGTGTCAACCCTGGCAACTGTAGACAGAGTTGAATAAGCCAAATGCAAAGCGAGCTGGACGATCCATCCTACTTATGATTGGTGAGCTTCCAATGCCAAAGTTGCGAAACTAAAAGCAGTCACTCTGTAACTGAAAGGGCATCCAAGCTGGCAACATGAGCGATCTGCGACTTTCAAGTTTCTGGCACGTTGCTGTCAACAGATTCACAGAAACCGCGTGGCATCGCTGTTTTGCGCAGGCAAGTTTCCTTTGAAGTACATAACCGATGTTTTAGGCCTGGCTTATCAGTTTGAATCGCAGCCACCACGTAATACATTCACAGCCACGGGGACATGATATGTCACGGTAAGAAACTTTATCTGCTCTCATTCAATTATACATAAATAAATAAATAAAGAGGTATATTTCTAGACCGGCTAGAGGCCGCACCGTTAAGTGTTCAGATTAATCTTTACATTACTCAGATGCTCTTGCATGGAAGTAGGCACAATACCAGTATATGTTTCTCGTTGGCAATTACAAATGCATTGGCATTGCTTGGTGTACAGATGATGCGGTCGCAGGCGCCCACCTTGAAATTTTTCTGGTTCCTTCGGGCGATATTGAGCTCCTTGTTCTATTTTTGTGAAAGCTGCGCAGAGGTGTACTTGTGCCTTTTTTTTAGAACAAGCTCCAATTCAACACAAGTTCATTTTAAATTCATTGGACATTTGTTGGCGCGCTCATTCGCCACAATTATTGGTGCGCACATGGAAGAAATGAGTGGCAGAATTATAAGGATTTGAGAACTTAAAAATAATTTCGAGGAATGCAGATGAAAATAATAGGTTTACATTTCGATTGCTCTCGTCAGTCGCAACGCAATACAGGCAGAAAAAACACACAATATATAGGGTCCACACTTAGTAACATAGATAAGCAGATAAAAATGATGGGAATGACGTAATCAGGACCAAGGCAATCTAATTGATTGTCTCAGTTGTTTCTGAGCACAGAGTACGGGACACTTCAATCTTATCAGTAGCGCCTCGCCAATTGCCAACAGTGTCGGGTTCCTGTTGCGCAATAGCACCTTGAATGAGTCGATTGGGTTCACCTGGTGACGAGTCAGCAAGAGGTGTTTGGAGATAGACGAGGCAGGGTTCAAATTCATTCTTTGTTTCGCTCCGCCTTGGTTAGACAACAACTGCCTTAGCCACAATGGGAAATGTTCCGCCACCCTTTGAGCTAGCCGGCGACCAGTCTTGCCTATGTAAGTGTCACCGCAACTGCAAGTGAACTGGTAGATGATGTTAGAGGCCGGACTGATTGGCGCGCTGCTCGAACGGATGTGGAGAGGAATCCTTCGTGTGGTGTGAATAAGTCGTAGTTGGGCGGTAGGGTAGGTGCGCATTAGAGCGGACCTGAGCTTGTGACCAACTTCATTTGCTAAGTGATCCCCCTTGAAGGGTAAGAACAGATAAACATTCTTCTTCTCCGCAGTTTGCACGGGGAGCTTCTCCTTGGGGGGTCTGCTATGGGTCTGAATGAATTTCTCCGGATACCCATTAGCTAGCAAAGTCCGGTATAAAAACTCTTCTTCAGCCTTGAGTAATTCCGGACTGCATATCCGCCTGGCCCTGTAGAAGAGAGTTTTTACAAGGCCGCGCTTGTATGCAACTGGGGCGAAGCTGGAAAAATGTAGGTATTGTCCACCCCAGGTCGCTTTTCTGTACACCGTGCGCTGCAATGTGCCACCGGTCCTTCTCTTGATGAGCACGTCAAGAAACGGCAGTCTGTCTTCTTGTTCCTTCTCCCTTGGTACAGAAAGGTTCGGGTGAATTGAGTTCAGGAGGGCGGCAAGACGATCAAAATGTTCACCATCAGTGAAGACGAGAATATCATCTACGTAACGCTTGTACAGCTTGGCTTCACCTATGCAGGTAGCAACTTTCCTTTCAATCAGACCTGGGAAGATGTCTGCCAGAACTGGTCCCAAAGGACTGCCCATAGCGACGCCGTCAATCTGTTTGTATGCCGTCCCTTCAAACTCAAATCGCACATTCTCAGTACACACCAATATCAAGTCTCTCAGGAACTCTAGAGGGATGCCCACAGAGAGGTTCCGACTCAAAAGGAATTGGCATAGGTCCTCAACCGTTTCACGCAGGGGCACATCCGTGAACAGTGATTCCACGTCTATTGAATACATGAGCTCCGCATCAAGTGTCGTTCGCTCCAGTATATTCACCAATTCAAAGGAGTCTTTCAAACAATGCGTGCCCAGGAGCTTACGCACGGGTTCTAGGAGCTTTGCCAACCACCGGGCTAATTTGTGGTAGGGTG